AGGTAGGACAGAAAATGACTTCTATACTTTTAAAATTTGCCCAAAATTTAGGAGGTCTTTAGACCAAGCCAACTATATTACAATTGATTTGTAACCTAATTTAAAATGTCACACTATTTACAGAAATATATTTTTACATGAATTACTTTAAATAACTTTATTATTCTTGCTTGTGTTTTGTTATAATATTTTGCATAATTTTTTTATCAATTCATTGTGTTTTTTAGCAAATTATGAGACAATAAAAAATTTTTTTTCTGCCCTTTTTTTTTACATATTCTCAAATTATTGTTGTAATCTATAGCTTTAACAATCTTTTGGTTTTTCTAATGATAATTCATAAATTTGATATGAAAAAATGCAACAATAAAAATAAAATGTGATGGATGACCATAGGCTATCATAATAATTTGACATGGAGAATACTTTAGATTCTGTTAGTTTGTACTAAAGATGGTGGCCAAAGCTACTTTAATAATAGTAATAGGCTGAAATTACTGGCCTAAGGCCGGGCCAATCCAATCCTCTGTTTAACAAATTCCCCCATCTAATTCTGGCCTAATAATAAGTGTATAAAAAAAAGTTGCTATCTTATAACATAAATAATTTCCCCCCCCTCAAAATTTCATTTTTTTATCCAAAAAAAAAATATCACATGATTAATAAAATTTGATTGGCCCGAATAGATTACACAAAAATTTAGAGAAGAGACTTCGTGATGTATATATAAGTTTTATCAAGTAGATATTGGAAGCAAATAATGCAAAACCGTTAATTTAGCAATAATCAAGAACTTACTACCTTGTTTCTATTATTTATGAAATAAATATATATTATACAAATTTAACAAATTTATTAATTTAACAATAATTATAGAACTACCTATCTATGAAAAATAGATATAAATATATTATACAAATTTATTAATTTAACAATAATTATAGAACAACCACCTGTTTCTATTATCCATACCTAATAACAAGAAAAAATAAATATATTATACAAAACTATTAATTTAACAATAATTATAGAACGACTATCTTGTTTCTATATCCACATCTAATAACAGAAATAAATAAAAAAAAAATATTATACAAAACTATTAATTTAACAATAATTATAGAACAATTACCTTCTACTATTCATAATTTATTCATCTAATAATAAGAAATAGATATACAAAGTAAATATATTATACCAGACTATTAATTTAACAATAATTATAGAATGAATACCTTGTTGTATCCTCCTTCAGCTTTTCCTTTAGTAGTTTATTGTTTTAAAAGTTTTAGTTTCTTTACAAAGTGAACAGTTGGCATTTTTCACTATTATACCTTGAAAATATAACAAGTTCGTTCACCCAACTCCCAGTTCTGCTTTATTTTTCTATACTTCGGAGCCTACTCTAATTTCTACATCTGCCACATAATACTATATTGGGAATGCTAGTACTAAGTAAAGTATGTTAAAATTGCGGATGCCGACGGATGCAGCTGGAATTAAGTTAAAAAAGTGTTACATATTGGCATGTCCCACTTTAATTGAAAGTTTTTTAAAAATTACGTTACACGCATAAAAAATTAATGTAACATAATAAATAATGACATTAAAAAATTTTACACCAGTTGAGGAGGACCATAAAACAAATCGAAAAGTCACGTTATTATAGGTCCCGAATTAAGATGATTAGAACCTCATTCATGATTATTTGATTATATGCCATATACTCATCAGTAAAAAAGACATTTTGGTATGATATTGTTATTATTATATTAATATTAATATAATTTTCGTAACACCATAAAACAATATTTTTCATAGCGACACGACTCCAATATATTAAATTATATTAATAATGATTCAGAAAGATTGTTAAATAATATTAGGAGACTTAATACGACTTCTGGGACATAACATCGTGTCTTCAAATACTAAGCATTCTTATTGATTGATTATAATTTCTATCCTTTATTTTAGCAAATCTCAAATTCGTATAATTGATTATATTGGTTGGAAGTCGGTATAGAGAGAATGAACAACACATATAACTAGGATATATAACGGGCTATCATAATTTGTGTTTAGATTTGGCAAAAGAATATAGTAAAACTTAATAATGATAGAATAGAACTAATTTATTAATATTCAAAATTAAATTAATGAAGGAGCCCAAAATCTAATTTATATAAATATTTATTTATTGAAAAAACATTTGGGACGAGAAAGAAATGATATTAATATTATATTGATTATTACTATATTATTTATATTATTATTATATTATATAATTATTTTTTATTTTAATTTATTGTTGACTTTCAATGCGTTTAAGGTTTTCGTATAATACATTGTTGGTTGATAAAGGTGTCAATTCACTTTTTCCACTTAAAATTTCTTCGGCACAAATGTCTTTACCGTAGAATTGTTTGTTAGCATCTTTACGCTCCATGATTATCGTGCCTTCAACAGATACACCTATATAATATCATATAGTATTGTTTAGAAGAGTGGAAATAATCACAAAATTGTTTTTACTTAATTATATTTACCAGCAAAAAAACCTTTGGAGTTGCTATATGAATATAATGCGGACGGTTCATAAATACTACTTGAAACTTCTGTGCCCATGCCAATAGGCCCAGCAGTTACTATAAAAAAACAATATTTATATTTTATATTAATATTAAATAATAATAGATATATACTAATAATCGTATGTTATATATATTTACCAGATAAATTTCCTCCTAATGTAACATTTTCACCACGACAAAAAGTTTTAACGGCTTCATCAGTATTGAGAACAATTACAAAATTAGTAAAATCGGCACCAACTTGTGCACCGAATCCAACGCCTGCAACATTTATACAAGATGGTGGAGACCAGGTTCCTTTTTCAGTTCTATAATTGATTTTTTAATCTTTTAATTTTTTGTTATGGAAGAAGCAAAATATGATTTTATCTATATACTCTTCTTATTTCTTACCTTGCAATTACTATACCAGATCCGGCACGGCCGGACCAAAAAAGTCCAGCTTTCAACACAGTGAAAATAGCCAAACCTTTTGCTTTAACAATAACATCTTTTGGAATTACATTTTCTAAACCACCTTCAGCTTTATCTGGATCTTCCAAGAAAGTTGTTAGTTTATACAATTACCAATAATGATGAATGATATGATACGATATGATTGATATATTTACCAGTAAAGGAAGACAAAATATTAGCAGCTTTATTGACCTCACTTACGAAATCAGAAGGTAACGGAGAACTGATGTTATTTTTTGCAGCTACTTTTTGGATTTCTTCAGAAACTCCATTTGCCACTTTACCGAGTTCTCGGGTACTGTATTCATATGTTTCGCTTGCTTTTGCAGTGACTTGACCGAAGTATTCCATTTTTATAAAATAAGTGATAAAAAAATTATTATAAAAATTATTTATTTTTTTAATTATCTTTTATTATTTTTTTAATTTTTGTAAGTTGAAAATTTAAACCTTGGAAATTACAAGCTTATTTATATTAAATCATCATCATATACGTAGGTGAGTATATTTAATATGAATTGATCGATTGATTGGTTAAATATAATTGAGATGATGGCCCTTTTCATACAATTTTCAACATTTACAATACATATAGCACGTGAGATAAAAAAATGTTCTGATTTTTTTATTAATTATTTATTTTTTAATTTTTCACATTTAATTTTTCTTTTTATTCATATGCTTTTATGCACATTGCGTGAAATTTTTTAATTCATTATTTTTCAGCTGTCAAAAATAACATTTATGACGATCCTTTTTAATTTCAAAAGAAAATCAGATGAAAATCATTTAAATGCTGGGTATCGCACATCCCACACACGGAATTTTATACGTCATGTTAACCAAATTTGGGAAATATTTGGAACACACATCCTGCGCACGGAATTTTATTACTACTACTACCTTAATGCGTTGCTGGCTGGATACTTGTTTTTTATTTTAAGAAGATTAATTAATGAACATTTGATCACCCAAAACTTTCGTCATATTCACAATTCATAAATCAATATATCCCGTTTTGAGATCTTGTTGACACGCGCGAAAATTTTATAGTCGGTCTGTATGGTGCAGGATTTTTTATATGCACAATAGGTTTTATTTTTTATTGTAACCGGCAATTATGTTTTAGTAATTAGTGGCGGTGTTACCTTCCCTTTTTTTGATTATGAAATATAGTCACAAGATATGTGACTATATTAATGTTGTATGTGGGTGTGAAATTAAAATTAGCTAAGCCAATATACTAATTCATTTTCGCATAGCATACGTGAATTTCAACTATATTTCACATACAACAACAGTCACATCTTTTATCTGAGGGGTTGTTGAATTTCACTAATTCCTCAAATCATAATATATAATAAAAAAAAAACGTGTTTTGTGACATTATTTTTTTATATACAACAATACCGATTTTTTTTTATCATCAACACCTACTGATAAACCTTTTTTTTCTAAAAACATCCACTGTTTTAATAAAAAATATTGATGATGATAATAAGTCGTGGAGTCAAGTATTTTTGGTAATGGAAATTTGTCAAAAAGTGAATCTACTTGGGATTGGAGAAGTAAATTGGGAAAAAATGTTGAACAGCTCGTAAATAAAGGGTGGAAAACAATTGGAGGATTGATAGGAAAGACTAATAATAATAATAGTATTAAAAATAAAAGCAACAAATGATCAATGATCGTGATGGTAATGATGATGGTTTCAATGGATCAAAAAGAATTTTTACAGGAGTATTTTTGGAATAAGGTCTTTAAATATATACGACAAGAATGAAGCAACTTAATTAATTATTAATTGTATCTAATTGTTATTATTAGTATAGTAATCAATATTAATATTTATAGGCAAAATCTGATGAATGTAAACGATTATTGGAAAGCATTTTGTCATTCTATCAATACTTCTTTTATCCAATACTCATCTTTATCCACTAATAATAATAATATGAATAATGGCATAATATGTTGTTTGCATTTATTCTCGTAGTTTAGTTAGGTTGTGTGGAATGAAATATAGTGTAGATTATGATGTGATAACTTATCATCAATATATTGAAAAATGGATTTATATGATGGTGATTTGAATGAAAAGATCATTCTCGGTAAATTACAAAAATTTAATTAAGATTTAAATGCAATCAAAATATGCATTCCTTGCCAGTTACCAGGATTATTATAACCGTCAATGTTAATGTAAGTGAAAAAGGTGTTAAAATATATTTATATATATTTTTTAAAAAAGTCATTAATAATATCAAATAATAACCCCACTAGAATATAAAAGAAAAGCTTTTTACTAGGAAAATTATATACATATCTATGTAAGTGTCTATTTTTATATAAAATTTTTTGCCTTTACTTCTTTTATTCTTAATCTTGAGCTAAATTAAAAAAAAAATTAATATTTCATCATCATTTTCACGAATTCTATCCAGATTTTTCCTTGGCTCCATGACTCTAGATATCTTAGATATAATGATCAATTGCCAACTACTTTTCACCTCTTCTATCACATTCAAATATTGTATAGTTGGGAACCAGGTAATGTTGTTAGTTTTCATAGAGATAAATATTTTCTTGCATACTATCCATATGAGTCCTAATCCAAAAATTCTATTCTATTCATACAAAACCTTTTCTCACTTGCTGCAAGATATGTTAAATGGTCAATTATTTGTTCTGTCACTACCTCCTGGTGCTATGCATTGTTTTATTTAGGAATGCTGTATCCAATTATTCATTAGTGATCTTAATTTATTTGAATCAAATGTTATTCTGTTTCATTATAATTTTGTATATATCTTGAATGTTTTTTACGTCATCATTAAAAATCAAAACAACATCTTGATGTGCCCATTTTGGTATCTAACTAGATGATTTGGGTGAAAAGAATAGTTCAAAATGAGGTTGAATCGTTACAAAATCCTGGCGTTGCATAAGTTCTCGAGTCAAGCCAAAACATTGACCAGGATAAAATACCAGGTTTCCATCCATACTCTCCTCTAGTATTATTTTCCAACCTTTCGAATTTAATTTTTTCAATTCAATCAAGTAAAAACAAGACTTTATCCATTTTGATAATTTGCCAATCCAATGTCATAAATCATAAATCCTAGACCGTTTAGATACTGGCATTGAGTTTAATGTAGTAAATATTACGCAATAATGATCTGAACTTGCTGCTATCACTATTGTAAAAGGATATCCTTCTTGTTTATATATTATTTAGACATCTGTGTCATTCTCGTCGATATCATTGTTGTTAATGTTATAGTCGTAGTTAATGTCAGTGAGGCTGCGCAAGTATTATTTTGTTATAAATATAAACTTGTAATATTGCAAGCACATGTCACAATGCAGATCATGATTTGTGATAAATTGAATCATAGTAATTTATCACTTAGACGGTTAATCGGCTATTGATAAATTTTTCTGATATGGTGCGCGCCATCTAAAGACATCAAATACTGCGTCACACTTCCAAATGATACTTTTTGGTGTCACGGGATTATAAAATCACATGACTCAATCATTTATCGTATTTGAGTATTTGAATTACTATTACATTGAAAGTTTATTCGAATAAATTTTTACTCAAATAAATGAATAAACAAATATATAAAACGGATAATTCGAATAAACGGATAAAGCAAATATATAATTCGAATAAACGAATAAAACAAATCATTGAATAAATGAATAAAGCGAATGATTTGAATAAACGAATAAAACGAATAAACGAATAATCCGAGTAAAACAAATGATTCGAATAAACGAATGATTCGAATAAACAAATAAATCGAACAAACGAATAATTAGAATAATTAGAATAAACGAATAATTCAAAATAAACGAATAATTAGATAAAATAATATAAATGAATAAATGAATAAAACGAATAATTCGAGCAAAATAAATAATTCGAGTAAAGTAAATAATTCGAATAAACGAACAAAACAAATAATTCGTATAATCAATTTCTTTTGATGCGTATTCTAAATTTTATTCAATTCGTTATCTGATTTGTTTTTTAACATTTCTAGCTTTTCCAAATGTGCAGTTTGTTTATTTCACCTTGCCATTTTTTTAAGTGGAAGAATGTGAATTTTTTAGCAATGTATTTGTTTGCTGATTGCTTACAAAAATATGTATGGTTTTTCTGAACTGAATTTTGTAATTTGTTCTGATCACGTGTTTGGATGATATTTTACTAAATAGGAAAGATCATCTTGTGCCCAAATTTCGTTATAGAAAGGGGGTAAACGTCAAAATCACAATTTTGAGAAAGTCGAAAAAAAGATTGACCCAAACTATACACAATGAATCTTGATTTAATGGATAGTTTGGGCAATTAGGGAAAATTTTCCAAAGATCCATTAAACTGAGATATCTGCTATATTGAGAAGGTTTTTATTAAGGTTTATTATGAAACTGTTCTTTGAACTTTATCTGTAAAACCAAGATTTTTAATTAGTATCTGCTAAATCGAGGTCTGCTAAATCGAGATTCACTGTGAAACTTCAGTATATATATACTAGTTGATATGAATATTGTTACTTAAATTATTTTCAATGGTCTGTAAGGGTTAATATAGTATGTGGACATTCCTTTTATATTATTTATATTATGTCAATCATTTTTCAATTATTTTAGAATAGACTATGGGTTACAAGAGTCTATAGAGGTTCTGTATTCTGTACATCTGTGCCTCTTAGTTGTGTGATATTTCCCTGAGGCTGCTTTTATATATGTGAAAATAAATTCGAAATTAGTGTCACATGAAGTTTTTTTTAAAATATCTCATTATTTTTATAATAAATTCGAAATTCATTGTTAGACTAAAATGAAAGTATTCCATTAAAGCTTTCTAATGAATACTCTTTCATATTAAAAGGTCTCCTCTACATGGATTCACAGCTATTCAAAAACAGTATTACTTTTTCACTTCAAAGCTCAGATTATTTCTCAATATCACTTTAATTCACAGATCATTTATCAACCAGGGAATTTTAATATAAAATTTCAGGGCACCTTTACTAATTAAAAGAAATGATTGACTGT